CTGCCCTTTCCTAATGGGACATCCAGGGAATGGCAGCAGCATCACCGACAGTCACTGACCCCAGAGTAAATCTCCCTTCTGGGGCAGCTGTTCCCAGGGCTACAGGAGTGAATCTGGCAAGAAAGCAAATACAAAAGAGGTCTGAACATGGCGAGTGGAAAATGGCTGAAACGTGTGTGCCTCTACTCCCTTCGCTAGTCACAGGGCCGGCTCCAGGCACCAGCTTTTTTTTTTGCTTGGGGCAGCAAAAATGGTAGAGCCGTCCCTGGCTACTCACCCAGCTTTAGGTGCCGCATGTCTGAATTTTACCAATTGAAAGTGTATTGCTGGTGTTTAGAAGGAACGTTGCTGCTCTAAGAATGTCACTATTTTGTAAAAGCATTTCAGTACCTTACTGGATGCCAGATACCCAGACTCGCTAATGCAAAATGCATTAGCCCAAACAGCAGGAACTCTAGGGCTGCTGGCGCCATTGAGTTCCACTCATTTCATCTTTATTATAAATACCACATTGTAGTCTCATTCTTTTCTCCCATCTTCACTTCAGACAAGAACTATAAGGCTCTAGTTGACTGGTTCCTTTGACTTAGTACAGTTGTTAAACCACAGGCAGTAAATACCTCTTTCAATTGTGTAAGGCGGATGTATTTATTTCATTGGAACAACTGAATGAAATCTGAAAAGGCTAAAGAATCCCCCTTTTGAAAAATACTTTTGGCTCCACTTTTTCATCTATGAATTGGATGCCAAAGAAACACTTCATAAAGATGCCATGTGAAATCAGTTCCTTTTCAGGCTGGGTCCTGTACTGATTGCATTTTTCATGTTTCTAGATCTATTTGGCATTAAAGAACTATAAGAAGAAGAAGAAGAACAATATAACAGCTTATCGTTAAATAGAATCTTTCCTCCCAAGTATCGCAACACACTATACTTTTTAATTGGTATGCAAACTATACAGAAGTTCATGTCTCCCAACACTGAAATGCAGCCACCTATGGGGTAAAACATGGCACCTATGTAATTACCACACAGCAGCTCTGCACTTTATGCAATGGAAACCGCAAGGGCAATATAGGAAGGCTAATTATTATTAAATCGAGCTGGAAATTTGCCACCATAGCTAATACTCCTGCATGTGTGAAAAAAAATGAAGGCTCTTTAAGTGACCCCAAGAGGTCAAGGAAAAAGGTGTTTTATTTCATCCGAAAGCAAGTATAAGAATACATTTCTTCTACATCGTCAGACTACTGGAAATGAATCTGAATTATCAGTGATAAGTAGTCATGGTTTTACGCAATAGATTCTGAAATGTCTGGTGCAAGTATTATTCTCACTTAGACAGAGGGCCAGATTCACCCTGAATGGTACAGGGATGTGCAACAGGCAGCTCGCTATGCTAATGAGACCCACGGCATTCTGGGGGCAATTCACCCTGGGGAAGGGCAAGCAGCATCCTGCTGAACACTCTTTAGCAGCCCAACCATCAGAGACGGTCAAGAGGGAAGTGCTGGTTCAGCACAGCACTAGGTTACCACCTGCTTTTTCGTGTGCATTCCTCACTGGATGAGACACTGGAGCTGTCTTATTGCTGTTCCAGCTCTCCACCCAGTGGGGAGTTTTGGGTGCCTGGGGCCCAGGCCTCAGTATTAACCATGTGCATGTGTGAATCCATCCCAGAAAGGTTTAGTGATTGGCCAACGCCTGGGAGTGCACCTGCTGGTCCCTCTCATGCAAGTAAGTCAAGGGGACCACTTGTATGAGGAGCAATTCTTAGCTCTTTATTGTGCTTTTCATCCATAGCTCTCAAAGCACTTTGGGTAAGGTAAGCACAGTCTGGCCTGGTGGCCTAGGGGCAGGAGCAGCACAGAGGAGTACCTGCCTTTCAGACTCCTATCCAGTCCACCAGATCATGCTGCCTTCAAACTATGGCATAAAATTCAAACCATGCTATGCAACATCTTTATCTTTCATTTATGGTTGTCACTAAGCTCTCTCTAGATCAATTACATCATTGTTTCCATAGTAATTAATGTGCTCCTGGGGTAAAACTGTCTACCTTTTGGTCTTTCAAAGCATGCTGCAGGGCATCTCTCCCTAGGAGGGCTCGTAGAGAAGCCAATGTTATTAGGGGCGATTTAAAAGGAAAGTGGGGAATTTGGTTTGTTGGAGTGCTACCTGCATATATTATATTATATAATTATGGGGCTTCCATTTATGCTGATAGATGGATTCACTATATTTTGAAATACAGTGTTTAAACTGATGCTTCTTCCTACTTTATAATTCTACATAAAATCATGTTTTCTATTTGTCTATGACTGTGCATTGCTATACTGTGAATTTTCAATTTCTTTTAATAAAACAGACCAGATTCATCCCTGATGTGCCTGCAGCGACTTGAATTGTGTTACACTGGGAATGAATTTGGCCTAATACATTTTGAAAAGAAAAATAAGGAAATGAAGAATGGGGAGAAGGAAAAAAGGAAGCTGCAGCCACTAATTTGATTTGAGGGTTCAGATGAGGAGGAAAAGCCTTTTTTGTATTTGATGGTTTTAAAGGCCCAATACTGCTCTTTTTGAAGTCAGTGGCAAAATTTCCATTGACTTCAGCAAAAGCAGGATCTGGAGCTATCAAACAGGGGGGAGGGGGAGGGACATTTAGCCCAATAAGACTATTCCATTTTATGAATGACCTCACATCCACTTCCCTGTATTTGCACCATGACCCCAGTCTCTGCCTTAGAAATAGACCATATTCTCTCTAAGTCAGTCATGCTCTATGTTCTCCTAGAAAAGTGCTTTCTGGAAACTTATTTTTCACAATGGGTTAAAAATTCTCCTTCAAAGGGCAACACATATATGGAGTCAGTGGCCAATGAAGGCTCTTGGTTCCTCTCAGCAAGGGCATTTGGCAAAGGCTACTCCTGTGTTCGCAGTGTCCCCTGGGTGTTTTCATCTGAGACAGAGCTGATAAGGGATTTTCTTTCAAGTGGAAAAGCATAAACTATATTTATATGCAGATAATTGCTGATTGGCTGTGTTTAGCTTAACAGGCTCAATTTCTGGCCTGCCTCTCTCTGACCACATGAAACATATTCACAATTGTCTGGATAGAAGATTATTTGCCAGAAGTTGGAGAAATGCCTTAGAAATGGTGGCAGAAGAGGGCAAGGGTGGCAGGATTAGTGCTTCCTTTTGCATCTGTTCTGTAGGTTGATATAAATGGAGGTGGGGGAGCAGGGGTGTTATAGGCCTCAGAAGCGGTTTAACATTTGCAACTATTTTTATTTATTACAGACATTTATATTGGTGCTCATAACTGTAGTATCTGGGCACACTATGTATAGTTCCGATCAAGACAAAAAATATTCCCTATATGTATCAAGATAATACCTTGTGAGCCACCCTCAACACAATGATTTTATAGGGTACAGACAAGGAGGACATAGGTTAACTAGGTGGCTGGAGAAACTAAGCTACACTTACAGAAAAGGCTGGATACATATGTAACCCTTCTGCCCATCTAAGTTGGCAGCAACAAGGGCCGGGTTCTGT